CAGCTTGCAAACTCTTCGTAGATGTAGCGTCGGGCGACCATTGATAAAATAACAGATTCAAAAAGGCTTTTCAGCCATGTTGAAAAAAAAGCAAAACAACAAATCCCGAGAGGGACCGAACCCGCAACCCCTTGAAGCAAGACCGCTACCAGCTGCGCCAGCTTACCATAAGCTCGGGAAGCCGGACTTTCGTCACGTTTATAACGGAGCTCACATGTGATTGTGAAACCACTAAAAAGCAAGGGCGGAAAAGAAAACCCTCTGTAACTCTTGTCAGAAGAGCAAGGAATAAGGATAAGGAAAGCAGAGTTGAGCTCAGCATCTCAAGACGCGTATGGAAATTTCAATTGACAGGGACAGGCCTGATGACCTTTTCTGGTTAGACACTCGCGTGGACTAGGGCCATTCTTCTGAGATATGCTCAGTCGCAACATGTGGCAGGGCTCTTAAAATACCCTGATATTGTTCCAAAAAACAACGGGGAAAATTGAAGGTGTGAATGAGAGAGCTTATCATGGTTCAGTTTTCTTAATACATGCACAGACATTGTTTGTCTTCCATCAAAACAAATGACGATAAGTAGTACCTGGTCTACGCTCATCATCGTTCCTCCTGGAACCACCAAATCCAGAACGAGAGTCCTCAAATTTCTAGACATTGATCATATAGCAAATAGAACGTGAAAGATATACAACAATAACCTGGCCATCCCAACTTGTGTTAAAAGACAAAATGAATACCTGCTCTCTGGCTTCTCTCTCATATCTTTGATCACCCTGATGACGACCTGGAACTCCAGAATGAGTTTCGACTGCACAGCTTGTTAAAACTGTAGCCTTTATAGTAAGAAAGGAAATATCTAACAATGCGAGTCCATCACTGAAGTATGCTTTTTCTTCCGAAAACATATTTTATGGATGTTTCGAAAATCTCAATGTGAACAACTGTTTGCAACAGCCGCAGCTTTTCAGAAATAAATTCTTGGATGTTGATCTTATTGTTAGTCACATATTTAAACGATCAAGTCTTGTATACATACCCCTGCCACCGAACTGTGAGTCTCCAAACCGACCGCGCGATGGCCTGCTGTCCTGGCCGTCATCGGAGTTCCAATCTGAACAAAGGGCGTAAATTACTTCATAATGCGAAGCTGTTAAAGTGGGAAGCAGTCGCTTTGACCTAATTTTGTTAGATATGGCATATATCAGGGTCGAACGCCAGCTGTGCAAAGATCAACGAGGAGGCCGTATGTGTCGAACGGAAGGAGTGGTGGTTGCAGTGATGGTCATGAGCCAGGGCCACGCACAGATAAAGGTCGCAGGACATATCAAAGAGGCAAATGAGTACGCACACTTCTGTATGCCACTGCGATTGCTAACCACAGAACATGGCGCACCCAGAGCAGGATTTCTATTAAAACCAGTACTAAACTAAAACTAAAGAGTTTCAGTTAATACCAGAAAACAAGATGATTTTGACGTTTTTGAACAAAAACAACCAATTTGGCGGATAGACTTCCAAAGTCCTGATAAAAACTTCTGGCAGAGAAAACCTTTCCATTTTCGAGTTTCAGGAGAAGTCAAAGCTAATTATAAGACACTGATCGTGTAAATTTCGACAACTTGTTTTCAAGGATTTTTACCTCTTCCCGTCACAGTAATCTCGGAGATACCTTTGCTTTGTAGATTAGAAACTCTCGTTTCAGGAAAATAGCTTGAAAAAATCATGACCAAAGAAAGGAGCAACGGGACCATTTTTGGCAAGAGTGATCTTCCGAAAAGAATTGCAGTGCTTTTTGTAAGTCAATCTCGTATTTCATGCCTATCCTCAGTGGTCTGCAAAAACTTGAATATGAAGGAATGCTTGAATGTTGAAAACTGGCATGTGCACAAAAACGTCGGCGTGAATTTTCGAGGAATTGGACATTCGCAACAGCTTTCGTACGTTTTCGAAAGGAAATGAAGCAAAAAGAATTTCTGAGATCTTTCCACAAATTCCTAATAAGGCAGGGAAGAGGGTATGATAATCTCAAATGAAGAGGTCCGTGTTTCTTCAAGGTCTAGTTGTTTAGTCAAAAAAAAAACAAAGATCAAGTTCAAGAAACTCGTCTGGGTTGCTAGGAGAGAACTTTTCGCATTGCCAGACTTTTCTGCTCCGTAAACCCTAGTTACTCATGATCAGGGAAAGAGCTTAGTTCCTGCTGCGAAAAGCACAAGCCACTTCCTGCCCTACCATCCCACACCCGTACCACATATACCGCGGAGTTTTGCACGTGCGCTCACGGTCGATTTATTTCTTTTTCAAAATTCGAGCTGCAAACGACAAGGTACCCGGAAACCATGACCATGGCTTCACTTCAACTCCGTAAAAAAACGATTTCCTTACATCAGCATTCCCTCAGTTCCTAACACCTGTCATCGCTCCCTCGCGTATGTTCACAACATGCATTATCACTTGCAAAGCCAAAAACAAGGAACTGTTAGCGAAAAAAAGAGCAGAAAAAAATTGGTTACCATCCGATTGTCTCTGATTTCCCCTACGGTCGGAAAAATTTCTGCCACCACCTCTTCTGAAAAACTTGTCTAATCATTCACATTGATTACACACAGTGAAATCTCTTAATGAGAAGAAATAACATGACTAAAAAAAGACACATCTAGGATATACCCTTGATTTCGCCGATCCGAACCACCACGGAATTGATCTAAAGAAGACCACTTTAACTGAATTACTCGATTTCCACATAAGAATTTCTAGAAGGGTTTGATAAAGATACCTTGGAAATCCTCACTGTCCCCACCACGTCCAAATGCCGGAACAGCCTCAAAATTGGCGTTCTCGCCGAAGCCCATTTTCAAACAACCCTGCAGTTGCACATAATGAAACGTTGGAAGTTGGAATAGGTTTAAAACAGAAAGTCCTCTACAGTATTATTAGATGAAAACAGCGGACGAAAAACGAATGCTCAAGAAGAAGTTTCGAAAATTCATTCCAATATTGAACTTACATCTGAAACGCACACAATCATCAATCATCGTCGCATTATTAACGAGCAATATCGACAGAGACACCCAACATAGAAAGCTATATACAACAAGATGTCATTCCTACCCCTACTTTTATAAACTTGCATTTCTGCGGGATTCTTATAGACGTAGTGTTAATTTTTACAAGGACCTACTTAGTGAGAAACTAAGAACGACCGAGCCATATAATAAAATCAAACAATCTATTGACCAGTTAAGTATCGAACAAACCTAGAATAGAACAAGGTTTTTATTACAAGTTATCACATCGGAATAGTGTAACAATAAGCGCCTAATGCAAACTGATCTAAACTGGTGGCTTTTCTGAAGCAGGCCGAGGTGGCCCATTAGTTCCGTTCTTATTACTCAAGGGAACAGTAACTTTAGGATCCACATTGGGTATATCAATTAATTTCTTTGACGAATCTGTAGAACTTCCTTCTTTATCCTCCATTACATCATTAGTCGGTCCCTGAGAAAGCAACTCAATGGTGAAGGTGAAACCAGTTTTGTAGAAATACGATTATCGTGATTATCGTGAAACTTAATTACCTGCGGCATCATGGGTGCATCCAAAGAGTCAATGTTTTTTGTCATTGCTTCAACTTCGTCCTCTTTTTTAAGCATGCCTACCATTGAAGCTATTTGTCCTGCAGACATTTTAACATCTCCGTGGCGTTCCATTAGCGCAATTACCTGTAAAAAATATCAAGTATAACCCATATCTTGCAGTCAAGAAGGGGCACAAAAGTTAGGAGACTGGCCCATTGGCTCCCCCAAGGGGCCTTCAACGAGGGGTGCTCTCTTCATACTTGGGGGCGCGGCCGAGTCGACAGTGCCCGCGAACTGTGGGGGTAAATTTGAAAACGCATCACCACCACAGTTCGCGGGCACTATCGACTCGTCCGCGCTCGCCGCGGCCGCGCCCCAAATCGTGAAGAAAGTGGGGGAGCCATGCCCCTTGGTAGAACTGACTACATACTCCATGAAAACCGCTATTATAAATAATCTGCTGTAGCTCCATCCATCAGTAGTCATCGTGTCAAATTTTCACGCTGAAGCACGGATGCAAAGCCGAATCTGTCTTTTTTTATCAGTAGTTTTCATAACTGAAAACACTATAACTTGACTGGCTGTCAAATGACAGGCACAAGTCGAACTTTGCTAGCGCGGTGCCAGCCGCACTCACGGATTGCGAAGTCTGACACCTGCCTTACCTGTCCTGCGCAACGACTAATGATGGGTGATATTTGAACCTTGTAGATGTAGAGTTTGACACTCATCGATCAATATTCTGCGGGAGCACGGGTGCATAATCGCTCAACATCGCTCTTCGCTCATCATTTCAATTCGGTTCTTCATCTAACTATTATAGTTCCATCCTTTTCACACATTTAGACCCGGTTCCGACGCATTTTTTTAACCATGCACACTACCCAAGACCAATCACAGCCCGCAGTCAGAGAGCAATGCAAAGCCACTAGAGAGAGACTGAAGAGGAAACAAAAGCGAAAACTTTCAAAGAATATTCAATATATAGATACTCAACAACACCACTTTGAGCTTCCTACAACTCAGTGTGGTAGTTTTGTAAGTAGTGCCATAACCTCCATTTCCCAAATGAAAAGAGGCCATCATCCTCGAAGCGGGCATATCGATGATTGTGGCTCGCTTCTCTGCTCGTGTTTCCCCTCTAGTCGCGGACTCTGACATCCGCCTAGCACTGCGCCACGCATGTCTGCTGTGCAGATATAGTGATTTCCATTCCAACAACAAGACATATTTAAGGACTAAAATTAAAATGTAGGTTTAGATGAGTTTTACCTCTCTAAAAGAAACGCCTCAAGGATAAACCTTAACTGCAAAAGCTTTCCAAGCATTTTTAGAGTATCTGTAATGTAATCTGTAATCTGGTTTGCGATCCAAATAACTATCTTAATGAGGTCATGAGATGGCTGGCCAGAAGAAAACGGAACGCTGGCCCCATCGGCCAGTTATCAAGAGAAAACACTTTTGAGTGATGGTACAACCTCAGCTATTCCTCAAGAGCCATGTTGCAATAAAGCCAGAAAACAGAAAAATAAAAGCGTGAAATTTCAATATTAGCAAAATATCCGCGGACACTTCTCAGCTGTGCATTGTGCTCGCTGACAAAAGGAAGAGATCAGAGGTACGGTGGATAAAAGTAAAATATTCCGGTCGAAGAAAAAAATCTAATTTTTAAGATTCACCTCTCTTAAAACGAGATCTGCATCAATAATACCATCTGCATCATGGTCAATGCTCAAAAGAAGCTGTTCGATTCGAGAGCGCCTTTCTTTCGCTTCCTGGGTATCTCCAGCAATCGCTGGACTGGCTTGTAGTTTGGTTAAAGCATCTACAAGATCTTGAACGCGCACTTGTTTTTCTCTGAAAACGTATTTGAATTATTTTGGGAGTGATGATATTGAAACTAATGAATTCAACACTTTAGAGAGGCAAAACCCTTTGTCTTTTACTTAATTTCGTAATTTTTGGGCAGAAGGAATAAAGTAAGTGAGGACTAAAAACTCGAGT